GATCACGGTCATTGACGTTGGCGGTGGCTTCACAGCAGCTAACTTTCGGCGCGTCGCACAAGCCATTCGGTCCGCAAAGGCCAATTACTTTGGCGAGGTGGATGGCATGCAATGGATGGCCGAACCAGGCCGGTTCATTGCCAGCGAGGCGTTCTCGCTGGTGTGTCGTGTCACGGGGATACGGAGTCGGCCCAATCCATCCTCTCCATCAAACAAGATGCATAACGCAGAGATCTTCGTAAACGATGGCATCTACCAGAACTTCTTGAACGCCTTGGTAGAAGGAGAGAAGTCGATCCCCACCCCAGTCCTCCTGCACTGCTATGGCGACCCATACCGCTCGGTTCTGCGCGATGGCTGTGCCTACACCATATGGGGACAGACGTGCTGCAGCGCCGACAAAATCAAGACCGCCTGTTCTCTGCGCTACCAGGTAGAAGAGGGAGACTGGTTATGTTTCCCATCAATGGGTGGTAAGGAACCTATCCCATTACTAACCCGTACAAAGGAGCCCCGCTGATTTTCGTAGCATACACCCAGTTCACAGCCAGCGGATTTAACGGCTTCTCCGCGGCGACGCCGATAATCTGGATCCCATCAGCTCAGAGACTCGGTGTATAAGCAAGCACCTAGAGAGGATGTCAACCAACCACGTACTTGGTCAACAATGGCGGGACTCATATCTTTCTTGGCGAACTCTTCCTGATTTTCACGGCCTACAGGACGGATTATCGAACTCTAGCTCGACGGTGTGGCGCCGACTGGGCATAGTGTTCCATGCTAAACAAGCCTCTTAGCAGATGGAAAAAAGAATCTCTAGGAAATTTGGCTCACCATCAATATTATCGTGCATTCCGAGTATCATTTTCTCTCGTCTATAGCAGAGAATGTAAAATGTGGCAGAAACACAATCCTGCCCAAGGCAGCAGAACCTTGCGAAGTCTGATCGGAACAGGCGGGCCACGCGTTGAAGACGGTATAGGTGACGTCATCGTACACAATGGCAGGATTCAGCAACAGTGGTCGGGACATTCACCAATTGCTTCTACTGTACCCTCTACAAATCTGAAGTTTGATCTCAGACAGGGTAGCTCGAGTGATAATACCTGGGTGACGCTGAGGTGACATGTGGGATAGCTCAAATGGCCTCTGAGTTGGTTGCAGTTGATCCAGCGGGTCGAATACTATAAATATATGTATCTGGACCGGCGTAATTTTTCTTAGTCACGTGGTCTTATTGGGACAAGTTGTACGATAGAATTCTCTCTCCAAGGCACGCGACCCACAGGACTGCTTCACACTGCGTAGCCGTTAGT